TTTTTTTGACAATGGCCACGCGCTTTTTTAGCAAAAAAAAAAAAAAAACTCCTGGAAACGCCTATGAATGCTCGGGATACATGAACATAGATAAAAAACTGTTTTCAAGGCTTAGCTACTGCACTGCATTCAGGAAGTACACTCTGGAAAAAGTGTTTAGCTGCATTCATTGTTGAGGTGTGGAACGACTAAATTAAGAGCAAAGTTTGACAAAACAATAATATTGCGTGCCAGCTGAGCGCTCCTTCAATAAACGTTTGCACTGTAAGAGCCTTGAAGGCAACGTGCATATCCCTTCAGTATCCAACAATCACAGCTTAGCTGTAAAAATCGCGTTAAGCTCATGTGTGATCTCAGCATGTTCCCTATCTAGTGACTTTTAAGATGGGAGATTAGCGTTTCGCGCAAGCATTGAAAGACAAGCTCTACAGTGTTTTGAGGCCTTAAAACTGACGCATTCCTGTCGGCTTCACAAAATATACAAACAAATAAATTTTTTTTCCAGCGCTTCAAATATTTTTATTTATTCCATTTTTGGTAGCAAATTTCGCCGAATTTGTGCTACCCTGTTGTGTCCGTGCATTAGCGCCCGTGATTATAAATGGCTTAAGCCACTTAGGCTGTACGAATGCACAAATCAAGTGCTGCCGAATACATATGCCGAACAGACATTCCAGGTACTTTTTTTTACGCATTTGCTCTTCCTCCTAGAACTATGTTAAAGCCATTACCGCAACAAAAAAGGCAGCAAAATTAATAATTTTTTCAACCTTTCTCATCCAATAATAGAAAAAACAAAAAAAAAGTTTTTGGTTTTTTTATTGGTAGGTCTTTTTTTTCAATTTTTTCACTTTTTTTTGAGGAAAAATTTTTTTTTGCAACTTTAGTTAGGGCGCAGGCTGGAGGGAATGAATGATAGTAGCAGTGTGCTGCAACTCGGATTACTTCTGTACAACTCGGCTTCTTTAGCAGTGATTAAAATTTGAAGGTGTTCTGACTTCGATTACAGTACTGTTTTTGGATAAAAACATTTTTGCAAGGGCAGAACGCGCTTTGAGAAGGACGGACACACTGCCAGCACATTTCCTTTCTGCCACTTCTAAATGACCTTTTGTCGTATTGGGGGATATGGGTGACCAGGTGCAGATGAATCATTGCTTTCGTTTTGGTGATAACCATATTTACACTTTCGGAAGCCGTAGACAATACACTTCGATCCTACTGGCTATTGGAGCTGAAATTTTGTGCGTAAACTACTATGTTTTCGGAAAAAGCGAATGTACACTGACTCGTATTGCAGGTATCATCCACACCCACACCAACGATACATTCGTGCCGTTATTCCATAACAAAATGTGTGATAAGTTATCCGGAAACCAGGATTGTTCGTTCAAATAGTGCTATCCAGACTCTGGTTGGAAATGTTGCTAAATATCATAGAATTGTAAAATGTTTATCTCAATGAACTGAAGTGCCTCGGGCATCAAAAACACAGAGATCTGAATTGAAATTACAGTAAATGTGTGTAAATTTCGAAAAATTGATAAATATAAATGTGCAAGACTTCACGTATTTTTGTAAAAACACTCGTGCTTGTTTTGAATTTCTTCTTTGACTTTGAAAAGCAAGGAATACGCGTGTACTTTAATTTCGGCTGTAAAGCCCATGCAAATCAGTAGCTCACAACTGAATTTACAAACTTTCGCTTCCTTCAGGGTTCTTTGAGAAGCAATTATGCAGTGATACCAGGGGTGCTGTCACAGTTGCTATAGGGAAATCAATAAAAACAAATAACGACCCGCAGCAAAACACTAGCACGGATATGAGTTTCGCCACAGAAGAACTGAGATTTTTTTTTATTTTGCAAGAAATTTCAGCTTTTTAAGCTTCCGAAGCTTCGGAAATGAATTACATTGTCAGTTTAGGTAGGAAACTAAACAGACACTTACATACACGGGCAAACATTAGAAACAAACAAACGAATTTTAAACAAACAAACAAACATAGTATCACGTGAATTCGGTTTTGCACCGCAACAATGTTTCAAAAACGCATAAAAAAGTCAAGAAACTAAAAAAAAATCTAAAAAAATTTCCTGAGGAGAAATGAAAATAGAGGAGCTGTATCAGTACTGGCATTTTAACAGCCTGCTCATGAGTTTTCATTACCCATGAGCTTTCAGCAGAGATCCAATTTCAAAAATTTTCTTCAGACAGCTCCAAACATCATCGAGTTTCGATAGCACGTAGTTTTTATTGAAGACACTTCCGTCACTTTGGTGCAACGTTGCGAATAGGCCGGTTGCTATTCAGCCTCTCGGACCTCCACCTCCGTACGGTGTCATTGGCCGGAAGTGCTCCAGACACGACCGAAAATACTCACTCCGGAAGCAGTCTGATCTGAAATTATTGTTTTCGTGTCTATGATGCGTCAAATGCCTCCTGACTGCTCAGCATTTTTTGGAAATTTGGATATCAAGGCTACGGATTGAGTGCTTTTTTCACTGCGATGAAATGGAACATTGTCGACGCCACGAAGTAATTGGCTCTGAAATTGTGCATTGGATTGTCAGTCCCTCCTCTCCAAATTCATCATTACTCTCCCTAACTGCTAACTGCCATTCGAAACCCTTCTAGCCCTTCAATAACGCACATAAATCCTCCAAAACTCTCCAGAATTTGCTCTTGATTCGATTCTTGGTTTAGCTTCCTGCTGTTTACCATCGTCATTTAGCTTCCTGCAGTTTCCTGTCAACTTTACTACCTCACTATGCTACCTCCGATCTCGCTAACAACTAATCGCTACCAACCATTATTGGTACTGGTCCCTAATAATGGTTAACCGACTAGCTATCTTTAACATGCAACCTACTGTTAATCATAATTAGCTGCCAGCTCGACTAGCGGCCACCACTGATCTAAACCCGACCGACTTCGTTGTCAGCAGTAACTACTGCATGCATCACTTTGCACTTGCTACCCCGGCTTTTCTGTCGAACGCCGAAACCATTGCTCCTTTATATCCTCAGCAGCCACGAATCAAAGCCGTACCGGATCGTACAAAAATCTCCAAATAGCCGGATTCATGACCACTTTTACGCCGTCTGACAGCATATTTGCACCAGTGAACCAATTCCAACCTTCCTGTGTCGTCAACTGATCACCGCTTAGCCAGACTTATTACTTTAATCGCCCTCTCCCAGTTTCCTTGGGCTCAGTAAATGTGAGCGATGAAAGCTAGGATAGAAGCAAAGCAATTTTTCTGGATCACAGAATACAGCACATTTGTTTCCACATGCAAAATGCATGGCATTCCCCGATAGTTTTTCCTCCTCCCCTACTTTCTTTCCTAATATGCACCATTCTTCAACGCACCTTGATTTCGAAAATTTTTGCTTTCTCTCTCTCTAAAAGAGATTCATGGTATTAGCGGAGTTCCAAGGACATTTACTCGGAGGCAAAACTGTTCACACATGCAAAAACTGTTTGAAAGCAAGCTGAAAACCGTCCGTATTTGGGTAGTCTCGACGTGCCCGGTAGCAGTTATGTGAAACAATTTGTCAGAATCTTGGCTTTCCTAAAGAAGTGCTTCAAAACATGGGAACTGCACTTGCATCAGAGTTTGAAGCTGTGCTATGGACTCCAGAACGTTGTCGCTGCATTTCATTCTTTTTAGAAGTAAAATGCCAAAATACAAAATAATGAACCTGCAATTGGCCCTCATATTCGGATACAGATGTGAATACATTTCATGACAGATCTCACACACCCGATCCATTATGATATGTAAGGGCTCGTCATTGTAAATGATGCATTTTGGTTTCGGTACAGTTGTCATCTTTCGTGCAGCATGCACTATCGAGCCGCATTCCATTACCAGTGCCGCATCAACCAGTAATATCAGAGAAGGGAATCCCATTGTTCCGTTATGTAATAAGTCTATAAATGAGGCCCCAGCCAACCAAGTTACAAAAAATATGATAGAGTGGTCAAGGGAGACTGTGAGAGAATGAAAGTCGAAAAGGTAGGAAAAGGGACGGACCGAAGTGTCCACCAACACTACAACCACCGTTGTATCTGAGCTATTTTGGAATGCAAGGAATGTTCCATTGTAAATTGTTCGTGAAGTAAGTTTCCAGTGCGGCCAGTGAGTATCCCCATTCCCAGCTGGTCATCTCTGTCTCGTTCCCGCCCTTGTTCCTCTCCTTATCGTGTGTTTTCCTAATCACAGCTATTTAACACAACCTTTGTCGTTACCGGACCTGTGATCAAATTTTTCAAAGTTCCCTTCTCCTTTTCTCCCTCTCCCTCTCCCCTCATCACCTTCCCCTTTACGACCTCAGCTGTACTTGGGGCCAGTTTGAGTAGTTTGTCCAGTGAGTATAGATCCAATGCGGAGTCCAAAATTTCGATATCTTCGACGAAAACGACAATAATTGCATGCCTAAAAATTGACATTCGTTATGCTTTACTGAGAGCGGTGCGGCAAAAAAACTCATGGGTGAAGTAGCAAAACTGCAAAAGTCAGGCATACAATTTTTTTGAAACGTCGAGCCAGAAACATCCAACGATGTTAACTTAAAGAGGTTCCGAAAGTCTAAAAATTTTCATGTACAATGCATTTTGAAAAATATTAGATACTGCAAATGACAAGTGTTAATATAGTCACGCAGTGACAGGCAAAAATTCCAACATTGGGCAAGGTTCTATTCTTCTGTGTTTTAGAAGACATTCAGTGTCTCAAATTCAGGCAACACTCGTAACTAAAGACTAACAAGCATATAACCTTGACATTCAGCGGAGAAAGTCCTCGACCAGGCTAAGAGGCCAAAAACCTGAAATCAACTATCATCTCGTTCTGTATCCGGAAACATGATCATAGGTCTAAATTCCTGTTAATTCTTCGACGTGAAAAAGGGACGAAACTTTCTGAGTTATATTCATCAGCATTTTAAATCAATTCCCCGTCCCATACTTCTACTTTCACAGCCGGAAATCCGATAATTATAGCCTTATCACAATCTTTAGCACACAAGCATTCGGACCCATATACCGTTAATTTTTTAAAATGAGGTGTAATTTTAGCTCATAGCTCGCCAAGTCTCTTCTACTACTTCCTTATTTTGGTTCATTTTTTCCTGTTTGTTAAACACTGTTAGAGACAGCCGCATCTTGGTAGCAATGGCAAATTAAATTTTTTGATTTTTGTTTTTCAAACAGCTTTGAGAAATTAAATTTTCTGATTTTTGCAACTTCTTTCAAATGTAGTAAACTTCCCAAATTGAAAAGCGTCTGGACCACGATTTTACTTTTTTTTCCGAAACCGTGGGTTTTTTTTGGCTCATCTAAGATAAGATACCTGCCGGGCAGCAGAGAATTTGCGAGCGGTTAGTCTGCACGACCACGCTATACGAGCTCAGAAAATTGCCCGGGCTAATCGGAAACAGGAAACATCCGAGCACCTTTTGAAAAGTGAACTAAAAATGCACCTGACTAGCGGTAGTAATAGCACAGCTGACGAATATAATTTTCGCATATCTTGGCGACAGCGGCAGAAGAAATAACAATAATATTGAGAACAATAACGATAATAACGAGGAGAAAGCAAGCAATAAAAATAAACAACGCTGAGGCAGCAGTGCCGATAATGAGGACGAAGAAGCCTGGATGAAAAGCCTGCAGAACAGACGGGAAATGCAAAAGCTTGTTAAAAGAAGCCTTAGGGCGTGCGTGATTCGATACGAGTCTGTTTGGTTCAATTCAGCTGTGAATGTCTGGGGTAGGCGTGGTAGCTGCAACCGGACTAGTTTCAAGCCTTTTCTTTTCTCCCTTCATTTTAGTCGATGCGCAATGACCCAAACCGCTTCCGAATATCAATGCTACCCCTCGATGCGTATTTCTGGTCCACTGTCATCTGCCTCTACTCCGATCTAATCATATCACTGACGACTGCCTCTGCTTTCAGAACTGGTACGTTCAGGCTTCCACTTCAGAATCAGAGTGAAAATTCCAAAAATCGTCTCTGCCGTTTTTTTTCCTTTCAAATATTTATGACGATAAATTCTTTAAAAAGTGAGTACACTGTAAATGGTTTCGGTGTTATTTCGTGCAATTTCAAGCAATCAAATCTAATGAAATGGACACTGTGTGGATGTTTCGGAAATGCCAAATTCCTTTTCGGCAATCGGCTGCTTCCAAATCAAAATTTGCTACCAGATATCGTTCATTTTGCACGTGAACAGAAATATTCTGCACAGAGACATATGGCTTAAGTGCATGCTAATCAATCAAGCAGCGAAACTTGAATAGACGTTTCTGGATTTCTTCTATTCTGCCGAACTTGAAATTATACCGTCCTTTGTTGTTTTCCCTGGATAATAAAATGACATAATTCTACTGCAGTGTGTTCGGGAAGTCACAGTGCATTGTTTCCCGAAATCAAGCATATTTTGGCGCATAAGCTCATCACAGTAGCTATGTGGCTGTGGCTCTTTGTTGCACACAAAGTAGTTCACATTCGCAGCGTATGTTTGGATATTTAGGGCTGTTATTGAAAAGCGGGTGAGCATACATGCAAGTGCGTTTGAACACGGACTCGTTACTGTGGGGAGCAATTGAGCCGCAAGTGTTATTTCGATTTGATTTAGTCGAATTTTGCAAAAAAAAAAAAATGCAGTTCAAACGAATATGATATGTTACTGCATGAACATGAGGAGTGCTGATCAGATAAAATGGTGATAAGTGGTGTTTTCCCTGAGGCTCGAACTGTAGCCGACAATTTGTCTTTCAAGTCCCTCTATATTTTACCAAATTTGTATCAATGGTAGACTAGTACTGAGCCACTCAACAAGTCAGCGAGGCAGGCCGCTCTGGATATGCCTCTTAATTAACCGTTAAAAGAAGCGCACAAAAAAAAGGTAGCTTCCCAAATATTTGTTGGCAAAATACAATCTTTTTATCAGTCTTGAGCATCTCTATTTTTCAAGGATATTGAAATTTGCAAAATTTGATTCTGACTGAATGAAATGCGTGAGTTTGTCGAGGCAAATTATGCTGTAGCGCAAGTGTTGCTGAATTGATCCATACAGCTTCATTCATCTACATTTAAACTGTGTATAGGTAAAATTCATTTTGGAAACGTATACTGCAATGAAATTTCCTTAATTCGAAGCAGGCAAAAATGTTGTCATTGGAACCAAGGAAAAATAGCATACATTGGCTCGTAATGCTGAATCTCACTGAAATAGCTCGTCGTGCTGAAGCTCTTATCGTCGGCTTTTTATGTAAAGCATTATTGCCTAACTGAAAGGGACTTGAAAATTTTAGGCTCAAAAACTCGGAAATTTGTGGTGCGCCTTATGGTCTAGGCCTTTGCACTAGCTTCGTTCTTGCTTTGAAAAGGAGGCCTCTCAATCGATGAATGACGCTCTCGCCTCGGTCCTCCTTTAGCACCATCTCTCTACCTAAAGAATTCAGCCTTTCTCTGTACCTTTCTGATTATGGATTACACTAGAATGCTAACCTGTGAGAAAACTGTAAAAAATTTGCTTTTTTGTGCGCTGTTATATAAATGATTTTTGTAAAAAACATTGTATTTGGACCACCACTGCGTATGTGCAAGCGTAAATTGTACACGTTTCTGTGTGCCGCCTATAGAATTCAAATGTAGAACTGCGTAAACCTGGAAGACCACTATTTCAAAAGTTTCTTTAAGTCCGAAAGTGCTCTCTATGGATAAAAGAAAAGGGCATCTGGGCGTAATTGAGGGCTAGTGAGTTTCAGCCCTCTAGCAAATCACTGAGTGCTATACAGATGCCCTATTTTTGTGATTCATGAAATTTAGCATCACAGTTGAAGTACCTGACCGCAATATGTTGATGATTTAGCTTGCAAAACATTTGTTCATTGCCAATCCCACTCCTTTGTTTTTCAAATGACAAGCGTGGGTAAATTTTTAATTTTGTAAGCAGTACGACCTGTATCGATAATAATAAATGGCCAGCGCACGGGCTGCCCGTGCGAAGATGCGTTTTTTGCAGAGTTCCCCGCAGG